AGGAGGAGGAGGAGGAGGAGAAATTAGTCTGTCAATCCCCGACAGCTTTTTCTGGTGGACCTGCCGGCCTCAAAGTATTCCAACTCTCAGTGATGCTTTTTAATACAGTTTTGAGCCGACGGAGCGGAAGTGGATCAAAATTAATTCAGGAGGTCGGGCTGTCTGGGGCTCCGCTTCACCTAACATCCAATTTGTGCGAGCGAGAGGGAGGGGGGGCAAGAGTAGAGAGGATATTAGGTGAACTTTCAATCTATCTGTTAGGTGTCTGAACTCAGTAGCCGGCGGATAATTACGGTCGTTTGTAGAAAGAAACATCATTTGCACATCATACATATAGCTCTGTATGGGAACCATTACGAAATTTTCAGACAGTCTTTTTCGTATATAATCTCGGGTAAAACATCATCTTCTCCTAAATAACCCAAAAGATACACAGGCAGAAAAGCCTCAGCAAGTCCAACATGCTTTGCGTTAAACCAGGAGCCCACGGTGAAATGCCTGGACCCCAAATTTAAAGTGAGACAACTTATTGCTTGATTCCCGAATGAATGAGAAGGTTCGCGATCCACGTATTAATATGGACGAGGAAGAAAACGTATCGAGCACCAGACCAATTGATTTATCTATCTGAGCTTTCGACCTCTTCTTACAGAAGTTCATCTTCAGAGATGAGAAGGTAATTATAGGAGCCATAGGCCAATCAAATGTCAGAAATCATCACGCTGTCAAGGGGTTAGAATCAGCAATCAAAAAGGATGAGGGAGGAGGACAATTAGCTGGCAGTGGAGTCGGGGAGCCATTATAGTGGTGTACGCTAATTAGCTGTCATTGGAGCTGGGGGTCATGAACAGCAATTAGTGTGGCGCCTTGTTACCCGGTAGAGGGTCCTGGTAACCCTGCTTCCTCTTCCGGGCGGTTCGTTGTGGGGTCCACTTCGCTTACCATTCTTACGTTTGGTTTGGCTTCGTTCTGTCTTTTTTCCACATAATGGGCAAGACTTTGTAGGCCGCGGGCAGGTCTAGATGCCCGTTGACAGAGTTGGCATCTGAGTACCATGCATCGAGCGTCAGCCTGTCGGCTTTTGAGGTTCCTAGGCCTACGATGGTCGCTCCTTGAAGATCGAAGTCATGGCCAGTCTCCGCGATGTGTGTTGCAAGTTGCGAGTTTCGAGTGCTTGATTACTTTGCACGTACCCTATTGAATGTCACCATTTACTACTGTGCTAGTTAGAAGAAAGAGGTTAACCTCTGCACTACAAATTCTGTCAGTTATGGCGCCTTCGTAAAGAAATGTGCGCTATATATTTTCAAATCAGTCTACGAGACTGGAATTTTCTCTGAAGGGAATATACAGTTTCCTGTTGTTTGCTTAAGTGATTAAAATGCACGCAAAACCTCCATCGGGTCACGAGCCTATTTCCTACCTTTCTCGGTCCCTTTAAACTGCTTTTATTAAACTTCTATTTTTTTCCGAAATCACGTCATCGTTTCCATAGTAGGGAAGTTGTGATGATCTGCCGTTGTCTTCAACTTAATTTATAAGACGTTGCTTTAGCCAGGTGATTAAATGTTAAATTATTCGTCTACCTACGGCTTATTTTCATTTTTGGAGAATATATTCTAGTATACAAACACCCACTTAATTACAGTCATATATTTTCTACTTCTGTTGTGTCTAATCTCGCTAAACACAATCATGTTGAATTTTCTTCAGAAAACTGCTGAAGCTTACCTATACTGACAGAGTAAAAACCATTAACTTCATGAGTTTTCATATGCTTAAGGGAAAACTAATTGTAGCCAGACACTAATAGTCGGGTGAACGTTCATCAATGAGTGTCAATATCCCTCGACCTAACCCGGCAAGACAGTGAGGTCGTGGCTCACTGGTTAAGGCGTTTGACTCGGAGCAAAAAGGTCGTAAGTTGAAGGCCTAAGTGGGGCACCAGTTTTGTCTGGGTACGACTGGCTGACGACGGCTAATAAGACAGAAGTGGCCACTCCAGTCTCCCTGGTGTCTTTGCTGGTAACACTATCTGCGAGATACCAATAGTTTCAGTGCGCAAATACTTTATGGGAAAAGCCGATCGAAAATGAAAAGCATGGTGGTTTCGAACTATCCTCGGCCGCCTTACAGATACAGGGTAAGTTGAAGGGCCACATAAACAGGAAGTGGAAATAGGAACGCCCAAACCAGCTCACCCCTATTCCCACCCTAAACCTCATATCTTAAGGTTGTTCTTACTTAAATCCTACTTCTGACACTAACGCCAACCTCTAACCTAACCTTACACTTTCGCCTTACCCTCACTTGAGTTTTGAAACCTAACTTCTCAGGAATTTGACACAAAGCCACAAAGCATGTTGGGCGGTTCCTGTCTATGTGGCCATACAGCCCATCCTTACCATCTAACACGACGATTTAAACTGCATGCCTTAAAAGTCATTAGAATACTTGTTATATCCCCCTAGTTGTATGTTGGGAAGAGAAGACAGACAGGATAGTAGAGAACAGTTTACAGCAACAGTCTTCTATCGACCAAGCGGCTGTGCCTTCTATCCATAGTTTCGTATTTAATGGACAAGCAGTCTTTCTCCCCCTATGTCTCTTCTTATTTGTCCCTGCGCGAGCCGCTTGTCCGGGCAGCCGTCGTGTGATTATGGTGACCTCATGGTGACACTACCCGGCGGTGCCATCTCGAGAGCGCGTAACTCTTCTGTGCCCTTGCGTGGTGTCGGCACTTGAAGATCGCGCGTAACCTATGTGCTCTTTGTGCGATGGCGCTATCGCGTGTTGTTATCTCCTTGTCATTCTGAATAACGGACGGTCAGTGTGTTGACTCATCTTCTGTGCCATCTTAACAGTACTTTGCTGGCCTTTTTGTGAACCTAAATAATTAATTTGTTAACCTCTTTTTCGCTTTTCTTTTAGGCTTCGGCATTACCTATCTCTTTCAAGTGGCTGTTGTGAACGGCAGTGAGACGGGCGCGACCACGAGTCTCAATGTAACGACGCCAGAGAACGGTAAATGCCAATATTCACCTGTTTATCAGTGTAGCTGTTTCATGCAAGGAAACCTGAGAGGCAGAAACTTGGAATGGCCCAATGAGAATTTATCGAAAGCCTACACATACTCGCCAACTACTCGTCTGAATTCTCCGATGGGAATTTTTGCAACTTGGACAATTTAATTGATGGCTGATATAGTAACCGATGTATTCTTATTTCGAGGCGATGGACGTGACATTCTGGAGAGATGGCTTGATGCAATAAGCATGCTTCTCAATCTCCTGTTTCCGGTTATTTTAGTAACTAAAACTTGGGACTCTCGTTGGAAGCCTTGGATATACCCCTGCTAGAAATTGATTTATCAGTAGCAGATGACACTAAATAAGCCAGACATTTCCATTTCATTGTCTTTGGGTTTTTTGACAAACTTTTTTCTTATTAATACTGTTCTCAATGTATAGGCAGTTTTCGGCGGATACTAAAACTGAAATGACAGCTTTCTATTTCAAGGACAATAATGCTGTGTGGCAAAGGTAAATGGAGGCCTGAGGCTTTCACGAATTGAGGCAAATATTCGCATCCCAGGTATATGTGTAGATAGAGACGTAGAAGGCGTTGCGACGGTACGACGGGATTACGCATTATCGCAAGTGGCCGTCTGTACCTACAAGAGCAGTCAAGAGTTCAATTTTTCAGCTGCAAGGGTAATCGCGCGTGCCGACTACAAAACAGGCCGAGAATTGATTGAAGCCTGGGCCTTGGATGATAACTCAGTCAATCGATTTATTGATCTGGCGCCGACATATATCGCGCTGCGCAGGCATCTCCGGGCTGATGGCACTGGTGGTTGTCTGCTCCCCCCTTCGCCCCTCTCCTCCGTAACGGTTGATTGGCCCCTGCGTCCTATAACTGTTGCTCGTCTTTCGTTTACTCTTTTTATTTCTGACGCTGGACTCCAGAAAGTGTCCGAAAGCTCAGACAAGTAAAAGTGTAATTCCGGTGATCGCAACGCCTTCTACTTCTCTATCTACCTGAGGCCTTAGCGGGCATTCAATATATTTACCTGTTCACTTTGCAATTTTAAAGTTTGCCCATTTACAACAAGTCTGTACAGCCTCCCCCCTCCTTTTTGGTTCTTACATCCTCGCCTGCGTATCCAGTTCCCTCAGGTTTTCCGCTGAACTTCAAAGTCCGCGGGGTTTCACCAACAGCAGTGGAGGTGACCTGGGAACCGCCGGCACTTCATCTTCGTAACGGTCGCCTGACGAGCTACCAAGTGCGATACTTTGAAGTTGGAGCTGAGACCGAGACGGAAAAGTCAGTGGATGTCCTGGTTCCAGAGCAGTTAAGCTACATGGCCCGTGATCTCAAAACTCAAACCTACTACAGTTTCATGGTGAGGGCATTCACCAGCCGGGGGCCCGGTCCATGGACTAGGGCGAACAATGTTCGAACCACTGTCGAATGTGAGTTACCGACCCGTGGGTCCAAGACATTTTCTCTCGTTCTTTAAAGTTACTTATTCGGTGTCAATGTGTCCGAGCTAATAGGCTGACGCTACTCTAAAGTATACTGTTTCGTATAAATTGGAAGGCAGACACCCCAAGAAATATAATTTCAGGGAAAGGCGTTCTTTGGGAAAATGAGTAAATTGTATTGAGTACGTATTCGACACTGGATCCCTAGGTCGTCCTCAGACTTGAGAAGCCGTGCAACGAAAAGTTAACATTTCAAAAGTGCTGGTAATGTTATATGGTCGTCTAGTGTGGGCGCTAGTTGGAAGCTGCAATTTGCGTTGGCCTGGGGTCAGTCCGGGTCATCCGGTGTGGGCGCTAATTGCGGTTCATAGTGGTCCATAGTATGCAGTTGTAGGCTCTTCCATCTTTCTTGGAGATGTGTGTACATTACATCCAACTCAGTACGTCGGTTGATGCATGATGCATGGTTATCCCATGCATGGGAGAAAACACGGCTGGTCGGAGTTTGTCCCTCCAAAGAGGCCGATAATTTCTTGCGACTACTAGTTTTTTCCACCACGGAGTGACGCAAATTGTAGCTGCCAATTAACGTCCACATTAGACCACTATATAACTGTGCCAGCACTTTTGAAATGTAAATTTTTCGATGCACAGTTTCTCAAGTCTGACGACGACCTGGGGTTCCAGTGTCGAAAATTTACTCAATAAAGTTTCCTCATCTTCTCAAAGAACGTCTTTCCTTGAAAGTAGATTGTCTCTGCGAGGGCTTTTGCGTACTTGAGTGATAAAAGGGACACAGTCACCTCTTCGTGCGTCGACGGAGAAAACTATGAGCCCCGGCTGTCATGCTACATGACTCATATATTTGCGCTTGCCACCTCTCGGCCACTTTTTTTCTTATTTAAGCGATGTTTTTACTTAAAGATGCACGTCAGTTCTGCTTAAGGGAAAAGTAAGTTACTTGCTTCAAATGCTGGAGAACGATGATTTCTCTGAACTTGAGGCAGATTAAAGTCCACAAGCAGTCGTATGTGCAGACACCGGATTAATAAATCCGGTAAATAATGAAGAACTTTTCATAAGTTCATCATTTGAGGTTTTTGTCTAATTACTTCCCAATAGCATCACATTCAGACGGAAGGGTTCCATTTGTATATAAAAGTTGTCGTAACGATAACATTTCAGTTTAAGTAAGTCGCTTCATTTAGGATGGCGGTAAACTATAAGCCCCGTTATTTGGCCAAAATAGATGCATGCATGTTTAGAGCATCTACGAAATGCACATCACTAGGACGAGTTTGACAGATTTGAATAACTTATCGCAGGGGGTTAAGTAAGTTAAACCCTAGCAACTGCGATCTTCAG